AAACACCGCACGACATCCTCAAAATACAACACCTTCCAACGACCCCTCCCCCCCAAGACATCCTCTAACGAAGACAACATCTTCATTGACAATTCCCAAAGACATCTACAAAGACATCCGCTGTGTACCCCAAATACATCACCCAAGACAACCGCAAAGCAAAGACACCCCCGAAAAACATTCCCCGAAGACATTCCCCCAAGACACGCTCCAAAGACAGCCGCAATGCCATTTACGAAGAAATCACCCCAGACAACAGCACAGACAAAAGGCCTCCCCCATAAAGCGTTGCCCCGAGAGCCCTTCCAAAGACATCCCCAAAGTCATCACCCAAGACAACCGCAATGCTTCCAAAGAAATCCCCAAAGACATCACCCAAGACAACCAAACACAAAGACATTTCCAAAGACCCCTGCCCCCAAAGCCAACTCAGCACAATCATGCCCATGTTTATCCTCAAAGAAATCCTCTTGAAGCATTCCGCCACAACACCTTCCAACGACACCCCCAAGGACCTGACCCAAGACAACCGCAAAGACATGCCCAAAAAAATATATCCAAACACATCCCCAAGGTCATCCCCGAAGAGCTCACCCCAAACCATGTGCTCGGTTGGCGATCTGGAAGTCACATGTTGCCCGTTGCGACAGTGTGGGCCGGCAGTGAGTTAAAGACAGCTCTGAGACGCAACAAATAAGGATCAGCTCGAAACAAGTAGTGCGGCTCAAGTATAGACCTTGAAAACCAACTACAGTATCTGGGACAACTGACCGACAAAAGACCTTAGCTTGGAGTTGAATGTTAGAACTGCCTCTGGCAATGTCCAAGTCATGGCAGGTAGCTAATTCTTGTCCAAGCCCGCACTGCCTCAATTCATCCATCCACATGGTACATGAGCAAGAAACAGCCCAAGGGCCCTTCTTGGCCCTGAAATTGTGGCCGTATGCGCGCCTTTTGGGCCATCACCACGTCATCGAACACTGCCTTTCCAGCATCTGTGAGCGCGTCCGCCATGGCGCGGTTTTTGCGCCAATCGTCCGTCGAGACGAATGGAAAGGGGGGGAAAAGGGGGCGGGGGTGCCGCTCGAGCCGAACCGCCGCCGGAACGCAATCAGGTGCGTTGCCAGGAGCCTCGAAAACTGGACCTAGAACAGTGCCATGGAAATGTTCTGCTACAAACCAAATCTCAATTTGAAGGGAGACACCTGAATGTTTGTTTATATACATGATCATATACATATATACAAATACAAATAAATAAATATATATATATATATAATATGTGTATATCCAAGCCAGTTTTGGGTGCTGCAGTCATTTTGGGGCTTAGTAGCAGGACCGACTTTCACAACCCTCCAGGACTTTAAGCTCATTCGATGTGAGTCCAACGCGACTTTCAACTCGCCAAGTATCCCGTCGATGGCCAAAGGATCCCAAAGCCCAAATGTTCTGGGTTCGGTTCGCCCAGCATTCAAAACAAGACATGTGAGGCATCGGCGAAACTTCAGGACTCATTCCTCTGTGTTCACCAAAGATACTGAAACCAATTAGGGGCGCAAACCGAGCTGACTGCAATTAGCAGTCTTTCTAGTCAACAAGATCAAGCAAACAACACCCCCTTGCACACCAACACAAACGCACCCAGGCCCGCACCCAGGCCCGCACGCCTGCCCGCCCGCATGTGACGCATGGATGGACGCACCCAGCCACACAAACACACATACAAACACACACACACACAAAGAAACAAACACACAAACACACAAACAAACAAACAGACAAACAAAGACGCAACCAAACAACCAAACAAACCAACAAACACAGCTGCAACTCTTCAGCAGTAGCTGAGAAAAAGAGTGGAGCAATGCTAGTACGAGCGATACACCGGAGAAAACCAGCATGCAGATACACCGGAGAAAATCAGCATGCATCGTCGCAAAGTACCGATTCAAATCTTCAGTACCCCTGTGTTAGCTTCTATGTTAGTGCTCAGTTCTATGGGAACCCAGTCCAGAATCGGTCTTTACAGTTACACTGTGGTGCCAGTCTTCTGTGAATGAGCATGAAAAGCTTTGTGGTGGGAGATGGGGGAGTTGAGGGTCGGGGGAATCCTTCTGATCACCGCCGCGCGCACACAAACCACCACGCAACTACACAACCACACAAACAGCCACACCAATCAGATGTTCTTTCTTTCGTCAAGAGGCGGCATCAGGGCTCATGCGAATGCTGCGCGCCCATTGAAGAGCTTGAAGGGCCTGCGCACATATTGAGGGCAGATGTTTGGATGTTTGCTCCGTGGCACCCCCATTGTACAAAATTTGGCCTTGCTTTGCTTGGACAACAGATATGCTCACGCCCAGACATATTGATATGCTGCTCTCTCGTCATTGGGAGAGAGCATCGATACTTCCCTCATACAGGTCTCGCTCGTGTGAAGAGCAGTGTTTACTCTTGCTCCTGTGATTTGCGTTTGTTTGTTTGTTTGTTTGTTTGTTTGTTTGTTTGTTTGTCTGTTGGCTGCTGGTTTATTCATTTCCAACAGCAATAGCTACGGGGCTTCAGCCAGTATTGGTTGTGTGGCACATTCCAAGGCTATGCAAGACTCTGGCAGAGTGCTGATGCATGAGGATGCCACTGCTCACAAGCATTTAGTGTCAAACCGCACATGTCTGAACCTATCTCCAGCCTTGCCTGGCGCCATCTGCCCGGCCAAATGCAGGCCCCCAGCGTGGCGGAGAATTCGGGCAGTGAGGGCAGGTTGCGCCTCGCCGGCCACCAGTTTTGGCGTTTTTTAGAGGACCTTTCCAGATGGTATTGGTTTGTTTGCTTTTCCTCTACTAAAAAAGGGTATCAAGAAATGTTCCCTTCGGTTGTAGACGTGTTCCGGGAATCCCAAATTTAAATTCCGTTCTGAGCCATTGGGGCATAGAAATATTGAAGTGCAAACTCTGGGCTCCGAATGAGAAGAAAACTCGAGAGCCACGTCCGCATGGATGTGGCAAGGTTCTGCCCACTACCACGGAACCGTAGACGATATGCAGTGCCAGGGGCCAGAAACAGGGTCGTTTTTCTCCAACTCTGATTATTTTGGCGACCGGTTTCGTGGGGGGAATTTGACTGGAGTTGGACCGGTTTTAGGGATTGCATTGGTTTCTAGAGGGGAACTTGACCGGTTTCGAGGGGGACTACCGGTTTAGAAACGGGTTTCAACGGCACCAGAAAAGAGGAAGATCAATTCCATTTGTTTCCATCTCTCAGTGCAAGCCCGATTTGTGGAATCATAATCTCACTCGCAACCATTTGCAGATAAGACATTAAGTGCCATTAGCAGAAGATACCGTACTCCGCCAAAGGGAGGCGCGCATGAAAACGCCATTTTCAGCTCTGAGATGGCCGGGTTTCGCTTGTGATTCTCCCGTCTCTCATGGAAGCTGAAAGATATTTGGTAGACCAGATTCTTTACGCTGAATAGCAATGAAGAACACATTGTTTCAAGCCCCAGGAGCCACAACGGCATGGATGACTTCACTGTTAGAAAGTGTGTTGGTGAGTTTCTTCTTTTCTTTTTTCTTTTTTTTTTTTTATGTTTGTTTGGTTCAGTTCATTTTCAGTGTGGGCTGTGCAAGAATCAAATTGCTTTGCTCCCATACCAAGTGTTGTAAAGATAAGTTTAGATTTCCGACCCCCTTTTTTTGCACCCAGTCTTACAGGGACCTTCGGTCATTCAGGTTATTCAGAGGTCGAGAACAACCCAACGGGCTGACCGTCTCATGATAACAAACTGCCCACACCTTGTGGCCTTGGCGTGAAGGGCCCCAACGTTTGGACCGTGAACGCTGCATTATCGCAGCCTGTTTTGTTGATCGAGCAAACACAGCGGACGGTTCGGCTGCCGCAGCTTTGGGTTTCGCGCCTCTGTGCCTGGGCGCTAAGCACTGCCAGCGCACGCTGCCAACCTTGCTGCAGCTGACTTCCACTAGGTGCCAGTTTATGGACGACAAATCGATGGGTGTGTCTTTCTTAGTGGAACCCCCCTGTTGGTTTGTAGTTAAGGAGAACCAAAAGAACCTAGATCACTGATCATGAAGCCACCCCTGGTGGTCGTACACATGGCCTCTGGTCAACTCCGGCAAGTAAATGTGACAGAGCGTTCACGTCGCGGAAGACATAGGTGCCCTTTTCTGTCGATCTGGTTGAACAAATGGCATGTTCAGTGTGGTTCCAGTCAGGTACCAGTGCCGTCTGGGTTTGCAAATGGTTCTCGCCAATCCTCCGGCTTCTTGGCCCCGCTCTGGCGATACACTTTGGTCGCTCCGTACCTTTATGTCCGATGTTCATTGACGCCTCCAAAAAGGTTTATAAGGCAATGCGCCCTGCCAACATGGAAGCCGACGTTTCCTGAAAACCATTTTCCTCTAAAGACCTTTGGTGGGTTCATGATGGGAGGGCCACCTGCCTGAAAATTACCTGGGACTATCAACTGCACATGGACTTGACGGGATCTATTCCTGCCGAAGACGCGGGAGACAGCCCCCTCGAAGTCGACCCAGGCATGCCGTTGGCCTGAGTAACGGAGTCAAACGCCGGTCATGTGTCCAAACCTTGGGAGACTTTTGGCTGTGTGTTTTTTCGAGGGTGCCCTTTTTGGGGTTGGCTCAAAGCGAGATCCAGGAAACTCATCCATGTGTGGGGTCCCCCATTTTGATAAATACATACCTTTTGGGGGCGGATTCATGAAGCGCAACCAACACACAGATTTGTAATGTCACCTCTCTGCAGCCTGAAGGAGTCGAAAGCCTAGACAATGACAATGCGCAGCTTGCTGCTCATGGCGCTTGATTCATGGCACAACGCTGCACCATAGATGTCAAGCAATCCCAATGCCTATGCGCGTGGACATACTCTTCCAGTGACATGCCGGTACGCACTTAGGCGATCTTTTTGGCTGGTCGGACTGGCTATATGTCTTGTCTCCGAACGAATGAAAGAACCAAGAAACAGGTGGTTTCCTGTTGGATACTCTTCAACTAGTGAAGGCATGGCTACAAGCACCTTGAGTGACTTGAGTGACTTGAGCTTCCCCGAGACATCGGGAATACAAAAAGCATCTTGTTGCTTGCTTTGCTTGCTGCTTCTCTGATGGACCAGTATATACTTGTATTTCGGAATGCCTCAGATTAGGTGTCCTGCCTGCTTTCGTTTTGAACTGTTCACGTGTGTTTTCAATCAGCAGGAAAGGTGTGCCAAGCGGCCTGCAAAGAAACTGCCACGTGCCGTGTTGCACACCTGCGGGAGTTTTCGATGGGCTCGGTGAACATGCTCATGACAGACTTAGATTGGACCGTGGCGTGGATCGATCAACCTGTCAAAAGGGGCGGCAAAGGGGATATGGGTATGTCTTTTCAAAGGTTGGACCCCCCACATGCTGGTCTTCCCTTTGGTTTCCCCTTAAAACCACCCCAAAGAGGGAACCAAACAAAGACACTCCCATATACTCACGCATACACTTGCCCGCATACCGGGCCTTCTCTTTTGACGCCGAGCAGAAAAGGACATCAATGAGCGGTTGAGCAAGCTGAGACAAAAACCACAATTAGGCGTCAAACTTGGTCTTAGGACTTACATGAATCACCCGCCACAATAAGCCGTCCACTTCTAAACAGGCTTACCAGTTGGTGGGACACCGGTGCCGGAGCCGTGCCTATTTTTGTGCGATCCGTTCAGTGACAACGTAGTCATAAGATGTCATACGATGTCATAAGGATAGCCCAAGGTGGGGGTCACAGGCTGTCCACTGGTTGGCTTTGGGTGGGTTTAGGGTTGGCTTTTGAGGTGGATGATTTGGGCATTGGAACTGGTTTAGGGCCATCCAGCCAACAAAGCAGCCACTTGAAAGAATGCCAGTCTTGAAAGATCATGACAACCATGAATGTTATGAGTGAGGCCAACATATCCCGCAAACAAACCGCAAGCTCTGTAATGTGTTCAACGTTTCGATTGCATCTCCCTTCAAAGTTCGCCACGCACTCACACACACACACACTTACACATTGTCTTCGTCAGTGGGCTCTGGTGGTGCAGGGATTCCTCTTTGAGGTCGATACACCGACCAATACATGTAGTCACCAGTCAAAAGTGGGCTGCCAATACAAGGAATTTGATGGGTGAGGTCACAAAAGCCAGTCATCGAGACCAGCAAAACGGTGGGATGGGGCGGGAGCTGACAGTCACCAGTCACCCAGTTCGCCTGGCCTTTTTGTCTTTGTAGCAACGCTGTTGGACCCAGTTGCAACCAACCACCCTGCTTGAAACAGGCGGTCCTTGGTTGGTTGAACATTTGAGCACTCATTTGTGTTGGGGCAGAGTCCACTGAGCAACTGGGTCACGATATCACGGGATAAGTGGTGCCTCATCGCTCGGCTGTGGACCCTGTGAGTTGCAGTTGCGTTCGGCGGTGGCGCGGTAATGGACACCCCGGATGAATAACTCCTCGTTCAGTCAGTGCAGGGTTCCATCTAAGAGGAAATCCTTGATTTTTCCGGGGGAAACACCCCTCTTAATCCATCCAGGTTGAGAAATTCTTCCGGGGTCGACATTATCAGGCTGGTTTGCCCGGCTGCTTCGTCGCGATATTAAATTGCCCTGCGTTTCTGGCGATCTCTTCTTGGATCTCCTCTTGGGTGGCATGCGGCGGCCCGAAGAAGGACGGGCGCGCGAAGGGGATGGCGACTCCGGTGCTGAAGGAGGGCCTTTGGTGAAGCATCTCCACCCAGGCCTTGAGCTCTGGTACCTGGTCCACGGAAACGTTTGCCCAGAAGGCGCTCGCGCAGTAGGGGAAGCACGCCACATCTGCCACAGTGACCTGCTTGCCCATGATGAAGGGACCCCCCGAGTCCCGTAGCTGGGTATTGAGCACTCCGAAAAGCCGCTCAGATTCCGCCACGAATCGGCTGATGGCCAGTTCGTCGTGCTGTCCCTTGACGGACAGCAGCCGCTGAAATGCCATAGCTTGGCCCATCATGGGCCCAAGGCCCGAAACCTGCCATGCCAACCACTGCTTTACTTGGAGCTTCTCCTGCAAAGCAACAGGCAGCAGTGGGGACTTATATTTCTCAGCCAAGTATTCGAGGATCACGGAGCTCTCCGCCACAGTGATGTTTGCCTCCCTGTCAATCAGGGCTGGAATGCGACCGTTCGGATTGATCTTGAGGAATTCCGGGCTTTTCTGCTCGTTCTTGGCGAAGTCTACAAGCGCCCAGTCATAAGGTACGCCAAGTTCCTCGCACATGATTGGCAGCTTCCAGCCGTTTTGAGTGGCGTAAATTAGCAAGCAAATAGGAGAATGGTCGGAAGGGCAGTGTGCATCTACAAGAGCAACTTGGCGAGCCAGCTTGGACATGTGCTTTGCTCACGCCTCGAGTCCAGCGGCTTTACGGCAAACAAATCGAGCCCAGTGAAGGCTGCGAGCAAATCGTCTAGACAGGCTGCATTTTTGTTAGCATAGAAATATAAGTAATTACAAACCAACCATGGACATCATGAATATCTATGGCTACGAACCACGGGTGTTTTGGAGCTTTCATTTCTGAAAACCCGTTTGGTTGGGTGATTTCCTTTGGGTTCCAATTCGTGGATCCAATTCATGATTCGCGTCATTTGTGTGGGCCCCCATAATGACGGCTTGTGTGCATGCGGGTGCCCTGTGAACACCAGTGTAGGTGGTATTGAGTCACGATCATTGACCCAAGGTCGGAATTCTCCTGCTTTCTAGAAGGGGGGGGCAGCTGCTGTTGCCTCGGGAGCCCTTTCAGCCAACTCCTGCCCTGGAGCTGCTCGAGAGAATAACCATCTTCCGATCAACCACCACTTGGTGGGGCTGGGTGGAGTCCAGCACCTCCAGCAAACCTTAGGCACGAGACAATCCGAACTCCCGGCCTCACGGTGAGCCACCGTGCGCGCTCAAGGCGAGAGCACCGCGCAGCGTGCGCCGCGTTTGGGACCGGGTGCGCTGGTGGATTAATTAGAGCGCCTGACAAACAGCTATGGTTGATAAGATTGGTATCCGAATGCGGTTCGGAGAAACTCAACATCCCGGTCTAGCCTCTCTGAAAAATATATGCAACTGGAAATGGGAGTAGCTGGAACAGGCTGACAGAAGTAGCTGGAGAGGATGACTGTGACTAAGTTCAAGACATATTGCTGAAGTAGGAACCAGGCCCTTCTCACAACCCCATTCCACATACTTTGACCATGTGCTGACCGAAAAGGACATCTGGTAGAGAATGTGCTTCGAGGTGGGTGAGACATCGATTCCTTCGGCTGAGCCTTGAAAGGTCGATCTCTGACTGCATCAAGCTGCTGCGACAAAGGATCGATTGTAGGTTTCGGAAAAGCTGCAAATGTGGGCTTTCAGAGGTGCTTGTTGTGCGGGGCTCCTGAATCCAAACTGTGCATGTCAGCCAAATTTGGCTGTATAGCCGTTGCTGAAATTTGGAGCCTTGTCAACATTCACAGCAAACAAATCCGCAAGCAAATCTGACTTGGTGGCATTCCTTCACATTGGTCGGCCACGAACATTCGGTGTATAGCTAGTCTTGAGACCAACATTGCTTGAAACAACTCGGTGTTCATCTAGTCTTCAGCAAGATCGCCTCATGCCAGTTCAATCTTAGACCAAGGACCACCAATCAGAAAAAGCACCAAACCACTTGGATCCTTTGCCGTTTTTGCCCTTCCTTCAGGCCCTGCCTAGGCTCGAAGTGGTGATGGAAGTATAGCTTCCAGTAGTGGTCCACGTGGTCCTGCCGATCCAGCACTCAGTAGTCATCAAATCATATGTCCGAAGGGGGGACTGCGGCATGTGGGATCCTTTCACGGCCGTGTACGGTTCGGAAGCTTGAGGCCCTGTGTTGCTTGCCTTTGGCCAGATGTTTCCCCGACGTCGCTAAGCCCTCTACAGTTTCTCCAGTCTTTCAGCCGCCCCGCTCTCAGTCTCCCAGTCCACTCCAGTCGCCCATTCTACCCTACTTCCAAGCCAACTCCAAGTCCAACTCCAAGTCAAAGGAAACTGAAAAGACACAGCCCCCGCTTTGAACACCGAGATGTTGCCCGACTTGCAGTCCGCCGACGCTTTAACTCCAGTTATACTCGAGCCCAAGAGGTAGCACAAAATGACGACATCGGGGCTCTTCAGATTTCTTCAGCAGCAGAGGAACTCTGCGGCAAAAAAAACACCTCCACATGAATTTACCAGTGATCATTTGTGAGAATGACTCAAACAGAACCCTCACCAAAAGGAAGAACATGCTCCACCTTTAACTCTTCTGGAATGACCAAAAAGGAGATACATCCAAAGCGACCAACGAACAACCCCCGGTGCTTCGGTCAGCCGACGGCCTGAGGTATGCCCTTGCGATCCGGATCTGTCACATCCACGAGGAAGGCGTGGCAAAGCCTAGAGCGGTCCCAAAGGCAACCGTTGCTTCCAAGCGCAGCAAAGAACCTTCATCATGAGCAAGCTCGTCTTAGCCAGGCGAGCTATATCACGTCCCAAGAGCAAAGTACATTGCGGAGTACCGAAGTGAAAGTGCTTAGCCTCCGGTAGAAGTCTATGGGCTTTACAAGGGTTTGCGTTTCACTTGATAATCATTTGTGCGGTCTGTTTTCTGCCATCAGGGGACATGTCTCAGAGAGAATAGATCACAAGTGATCAAAGGTTCCAACGGAACAAACGAGTCACTGAATGGCCAATTTTACAAGGTAAGCAACAAGTTGCCAAAGTCAAACAATGACATATCCCACAGACACATGCTACTATACATACATAATAACGATGATGAACATAATTTTCAGAAGAGTAAGCATCTTAGATTCTGGCTCTCGCGATTACTTATTGCCAAGAAGCATCTGCGCGACATGCCAGACAACCAACAATGTGAAATGAGAAAGCCCCAAGAAAGACACCTATGCAACTAGGTGGCAAACCGAACCACTTGGGAAGTCTGCGATATTTCGTTAGGCCAAAAGCGTTGCCATTGGCTTCGAACCCGTCAATGACAGCTCCAGTGACCCCCTGCACATGGGTGCGCGTGTTTTGAAAGGTGAACTTTGTCGAGGTGGTCTTAAAGGATCTTAAAGGGAAACCACAGCTTCTCAAGATTCACAGGTTTTGCTCTTGAAAGACAACCGCTAACGAAGGGAAACCAGCGGACACTTGCCCAAGCCAGTGTTGCTCTAGCCCTTTGAACGACCACTGAGAACCGCTCAGTGCAGTTCGCTACTCTTGGGCTTAGAGGAGGCCTGGTTGGAGAAGCCAAGTTGTGGACACAAAGGGTCCTTCCATCAAGGCAGCTAACAAAGGCGTGATAAGGGGTGCAAACCTGGCTTTCTAGGCTGGCAGCAAGTGCATCTCGTAGCGCCAGGAGAGCACACACCAGTCCTGGTGCACGCTGACTCCAGTGACTTGTTCAGTGTCTCTTGGTAGCGAAGCCGAAAGGGAAACCACCCACCCAGGCTAGCCTCCAGAGGGGGCTTCGCGCGGACTTTCCAGGTGAGCAACTCCATAAACGATTTGTAACCCAAATCAGGGGGCACCAACCCCCCTTTTCAGCTCCCTTTTAAAGTGACTTCTGATTTGTAGGTCCCTAGATGTTCTTTTGGGGTAAACTCAACGCGATGCTTGCCTCCCTCACCGCCTACGTTCCTGCGCACTCCGATCTTGGAAGTGCTTTGGCTTTCTGTCTCCAATTAGGGTCGGTCCAATGGACCCCTGCAGAACAGATTTGGCGAGTGCAAACGACGGCTAAGCCCTGACCCTGCAACCGCTCGCACCCCTTCCCCCCCCCACAAAATTTTCAGGGAAGACCAACATGGCTGCTTGGGGGGCTGTGTGTTGGCGGGTGGTAGGACCATTACCAACTGCATCAAATGCGAATCTGTCGAATGGGGCCAAGCAAAGCTGCATGGTTGTATTCGTTTTCATTTGAGTCGTATGCACTTCTTACACTTTTTCGACTCTTTCTAGATGCTGATGGCAGATTGTGTGTGGCTGTGTAGCGACTGGCCCCCTGCATCTTCGTTCAATGACAAGGACTCTCTTTACAATGGTCACAGGGTTGACAGGTTGCAACATGTGGCAACTGTCAAGGAGCACCTTAGGCGTGTTGGCACCATTGTGATCTGGTCTGTCGCTGGGAGTGGTCTCGCCCTGATGCTCCTCGTATTTGAAGGAGCCATACACCGGGCTCCCCTCGCCATCTCCATCGTGCAGGTCCTCGTTTTAGACACTTCGTCAGGATTGAGCATGTGCATGTGCCTGCCTTGCCTCTTTCCATCAACTGGTTCCTAGGCAATTCAAAACTCTGACGTCACCCAAGTTCGTATTACGATTGAAGTCAGACATGGGGTAACAGGCTCCCACATGCGTTTTGAACAGGTTGAAGGTCAAGGATGAGATCGGCCATCCACTTTTGGATACACATTTCTTCACCGCCACATTTGATTTGAGTGCGGCCAAAAGGCTTGAGACTCAGCATCCACATTTACTTGGATTCCCGCTTCTTGTCTGACCCTCTACCCGAGACCTCCCCCCTAGATCAAAACCCTGAGATAACAGGGCACTGGAGGTTTATGAACCGGAATGTTGAGAAATACCCTGCCCTCTTCACCTTCTCTGTGTAACTCACTCGATATCTTGCGAATCTGACAGAGCCTGGTGAACAAAATTGGTCCAAAATGATCAGCGCACCGTAGCTCAAATTCAATGCGCCCAGGTCCATTGGCTTCCCGCAAGAGATTGGGCCCTTTCTCTGGCATGACTTGTGCCCATTCGGTGAATCTTCATCAGTTACCCAAATAGCCGGAAAAACAACTTGTGTGGAAGAAAATCCGCTGTGTTTCTGCAACATCAATATGTCTTCCCCCAGTTGGTACAACCATGACCCTGGAAGAAAAGGAGAATCTGCGAATTTTGCACATTCTTTACCAAAGTGCAATAAGCGATCTCTGAGCAAAGAACATGCATGCTGGGTGAGCCTGTTATTCCCCTTTGTGAGCTCGGTCGAAACTGGGCAGAAGCAATCCAGTCGGGATCTTCACAAGTAAACTTCCGCCCGAGATCACCATGCGCTTCTCTGAGATCAGTTTGGTGCCATTTGTTTTTGTTGGTTGGTCTTGAAGGGAAACCAAAAGAAAACCGACCACGTTGGGTGCTTGGCGACCTCCCACAGCAAATGGTTGCAGGGTGTGCTCCTACGCGGCGGAACCTCAAAGGGACACAACCCCAAGCTAGTTGAGATGCATTTTCCAAACCAAACCCCGTCTGTCGCGAAGCTGAGTCAAAATGAGGACACACAGCCAAGCATCCAGAACAAGTTGTTCCTTTCTCCCTTTGCACCAAACTGGTGAAGCGCGCGCCTTTGTGAAAGCTGGGTATTTCACTCTGATTGATTGGGAAAGCCGAAAAGGATGGATATCCAAGAAGTGTCCAGAGTGCAGAACACCCCAGAAGAATCTGCCGCCCCACTCATCTCCTTGACGTCAGAGAGGCTTATCTGAGAGGCCTGGCACTTTTTGCGGGTGGCAACTGACAAACAACTGACCCTTCGTGACCCGCTTCAAGGAGGCCTATCTATATGGGCGTGTCTTTGTTGAGGGGGCCTTGTCTGTTGAGGGGTCGCACACACACACACACAAACATGCACCAGCACACACACCACACACACAGCACACACACAATACACCAGAATACACACAACGCACACACACACACAACACACACACACACACGCTCGCACACAACACACACAACACACGCACACACACTCGCACGCATCACACGCTCGCACACATCACACACACACAGCACACACACACACAACGCACACACACACAAAACACACACACACACAACGCACATTCAACACGCGCACGCGCACGCGCACGCGCACGCGCACGCGCACGCGCACGCGCACGCGCACGCGCACGCGCACGCACACGCACACACACACACACACACACACACACACACACACACACACACACACACACACACACACACACACACACACACACACACACACACACACACACACACACACACACACACACACACACACACACACACACACACACACACACACACACACACACACACACACACACACACACACACACACACACACACACACACACACACACACACACACACACACACACACACACACACACACACACACACACACACACACACACACACACACACACACACACACACACACACACACACACACACACACACACACACACACACACACACACACACACACACACACACACACACACACACACACACACACACACACACACACACACACACACACACACACGCTCGCACCCCCGCACCCTCGCACCCACGCACTGATGCACCCACGCACCGATGCACCCACGCACGCAAGCTCGCAAGCATGGTTTGTCTTTTTCAGAGGCAATTGTATGGCTTGACTTGACTTCGATGAACCGGGTAAGCCAAAGAAACTTACGCCCAAACAAAGGGACAAATCCAATTTAAGTGTCTTGTTCCTAGAAGGTTTAGTAAAGCGAGGGTTTTTTGAGGAAATGATATTGAAACCACTTTCCATAATACCAACATGGGTGAGGAAACCCTCGAAACGGGCGGCTTCCCTTTGAACTTCGTTCTAACCACCCCAAAAAGGACAACGGGGCCCAGGTGAACACCTGAACGCCTGACAATTTTGAAGGGCGCGCTGGGCTTGATCAGGCTTTGGGCAATAGGCCGCCATTTTGCCTTCAAAACGTCTTAGACGAACTAACGCCGCCGGCTCATCTGCGGCCGCGAATGGCTTCGGGCAAATTGCGTGGCCTTTTCCGCGAGCTCTGCATTGGACCGGATCTTCTCGGAGAACTCCATCTGCCTGCCGCGATCTGAAGTCAGCAGCTCATGACCAAACATGGATGTCGCTGAGAGTACCTGCTGTAGGTTTATAGATGTACAGGAAGGTCAACAAACATCCATGTTTGCGGGTGGTCCATTATTCTGAGAACAGCTTTGATGAATGGCACGACTGCCACGAGGTTTTGCAATTTCTAGCATGCCAATTAGAGAGAGTTGCATGGGATTTGGGCTGTAGTGGACGCCTCGCTGACATAACAACTTGCCATTTGGTTGGTGGTTTGAAGTTGGTGGGTGTTGGCTACTTGCCGTCCCTCAATTTCTTTCAGAAACTAAACTCGCCATCAATCAATCACCACAAACTCAGCCCATCTCAGGTCTCCTTCGGCAACAGGACACACCTGCTTCAGCCCTACTCAAAAGTAAACACATGGTGCGCGGCTTGAAGCACACCCAATCCCGGCGTCTCCATTTGGCTGTCGTAGGCCAAGCTCGTGAGTGCCCTTTGCGTTTCCTTTCAACCCAAGGGCAAAGACTCCCGCATGGGTTGGAGACAAACAACATGTATGTCCACCATACCCTTGAGCGATTGCAAAAGGAAACCGCACAGTCACCGATCCGAATGGGTGCCGTGTTTTTTGATCGGTACCCTTCAAACGGGGGTTGAACGTTTTTTCAAGGGAGGCAACAAAAGGAACACCGAAATCCATAAGGTCGCCCTATTTGTGGATGTTTTCCTTTTTTCTTTAATGGATTCAGAAGGGGTCGTCCTGGGGGCTGCGTTGTTCAGATTCCTGGGGGCTGCGCTTTTCATGGAAAAGTGTGAAAAGGCTCGTTTTCTACACTTTTCCAGAAAACGCAAAACCACAAGAATCTGAAAAACGCAGCCCCCAGAAAACCAAAAAAAACCTCGAGTTTCCAAAAACAAAACACGCAAAAACACAATTGCAGGCCCTATGGCTGGGCAGTCCAAGCTTGGGGACATAGGGCCTGCATTTGTTTTTTGGAAAACTCGAGGTTTTTTTCACTTTTCCGGATGAAAAAAACAAAAAAAACTCGAGTTTCAAACAAAAAGCAGGCCCTATGGCTGGGCAGTCCAAGCTTGGGGACATAGGGACTGCAATTGCATTTGTGTTTAACTCGAGGTTTTTTTGGATCTTTCTCCGCATCCTCGTCTGCAACAGAATGCTTTCAACCCTGTGACTCTCGTAGCCAGCTCTGTATTCAAGCCAACCGTAGACATAACATATTATCTATCTTCGATTGAGATGGTTTCAGTCGACCCAGAGAATGTCAGGTTGAAGGATGCGGTAGAGGCCACCCAGAACCTGTTCTTGCGAGACATACCTTCACATGTCTGTGTGGGTCCTCTTCCCGTGGGAGTCATCTCGATACCCCTAGTATTCTCCTCATGTTCACCTTTAATATTGCCCTAGTATTCCCTGAGTGTTTCCTTAGTATTGCCCTATGATTGCCCTAGTATTCAGTATTCCCCTATTATTGCCCTGGCATTCAATTAATTCAGTAGTCTCTTCGTATACTTCTAGTATTTCCTCACTACCCCATAGTATTCCCTTGCTATTCCCCTAGTAAAAGTGTGGAATTACTAAGGGAATACCCTATTCCTTAAATGTTATCTTGGTATACCCCTAGTGTTCCCTCAGAAGTTCCCCTAGTATTCTCCCAGGCTCACCTGTAATATTGCCCGAGTATTCCCTGAATATTTCCTTAGTACTGCCCTATGATTGCCCCAGTGTTCCCCTATTATTGCCCTAGTGTTCCCCTATTATTGCCCTAGTATTCAGTTAACTTAATGGTCTCTTGGTATACCCCTAGTATTCCTCACTACCATAGCATTCCCTTGCTATTTCCCCTAGTAAAGGGATGGAATTACTAGGGGAATACCTTGAGTACTGCCCCGGTATTCCTTAAGTATTCTGCTGGTATACCCCTAGCTTTCTGTCAGTATTCTCCTAGAATTCTTCCAGTATTCACTTTTAGTACTCCCCTAGTACTTCCCTAGTAGTGCCCTAATATTGCCCTAGTCAGGAAGCCTGAGAGAAGTCAGACAGATCGAGCTTGAGAGTATACCCCCAGTATTCCCTTCAGTATTCCCACGTATTATCCTAGTATTCACCTTTAGTATTGCCCTAGTATCCCCTGAGTATGTACCTAGTATTGCCCTAGTATTCCCCTAGTACTGCCCTAGTTTTTCTTTAGAATTCTGTTGGTATACCCCTAGTGTTTCCTCACTACCCCCCTAGTGTTCCCCAAATATTTCACTAGCAAAGGAAGGGGGGGAATACCTTCAGCATTATCAAACTAACTAGGCAACTAAATGGCAACTAAATAAGGGAATGGAGTGTTGAAGCGCCCTGCCAAGAAGTGTGGGATGTTGAAGCGCCCTGCCAAGGCCTGATGGTAATTCACCTGGGACCCCATATGGCCGGTTTTTTTTGGTCATACCCTTTTGACCGAAAAAATGGCCATACTGTTGTTACGGCTTTTTTTTTTTAAACAACATGTCGAACAAATATGGGTTTCATACGGGTGATTTACGCACATGACCGAAAAATCATGGCCATACGGGCAAATACGGCCAAATACGGGAGTTTGACCGGAAAAAAAAAGCCATACGGGGTGCCAGGCAGGCTGTCTTCTGTATAATCTAAGTGTTGCTTCCCAACATGCATTCTTCAAGGCGTGAAAACATCTGCGGCTCCAGTTGGAATAACAAAAATGGGCCTGTACTTGCATGCCATCACACAACCAAAAGACCGAAAATCAAGAATCTAAATATCTGTGCTGCAAAAAACGCAGCCCCCAGGAATCTGAAAAACGCAGCCCCCAGGAATCTGAAAAACGCAGCCCCCAGGAATCTGAAAAACGCAGCCCCCAGGAATTCGAGAAACGCAGACCCCATGCCGACCCGCCCTCAATGGATTTCGGTGTTCCTTTGGGCTTCCCTTGAAAACCACACGCAAAAACGACCAAGCAACAACGACGAGCCACCCATTTTCGGGTTCTCCCGCTTGGACCCCGGCCCTTTCTGGAAGATCTTCCGCAGCTCCTTCCAGGCCTTCCGACATTCGAGGGATACAACTTAAGCCTTGGGCGTGGGAGTGAGGAGGAAGCACGTGGAGGAAAAACAAGGTATAAAAACAACGTCCACACAGCGTAGAAACTGCCACGGGCTGGCCCCAGGATAGTTGCGCGGGACAACGATGTTTATCGATTTTTTGTTGCTATGGAGACTCGCTCTCCTCGATGCCATCCGATGCTTTCACAGTTTATACGAATACATAACAAAAAAACGTTTTCTCCAGGAGTTTGTCCAGGTGTGGAATTCTTGCGTCAGTCGTGGAGTTGAGAGAACCCTAGCATAGACGATACCCAAAAACACAAAGGATAGTGGGCCCTACCAGATTTCACCAGGCCTCGAAACATGTGTCAGCCAACAAGAGTACCAAATGCTCTTCGCCCTTGAGGTAAATACACCTGCAAAATACTCTAACAACATGGGTGTCCACAAATGGCCAAACCCAAACAAATGGCCTAGCCCAATTTGCAGCGACTAGCTGGACAAGGGGCATACTGTATCCCATTATGATTGATCACAAGGATGCCGTAGCCTGAAGCGAGGTTGTATGATCTCAGTTCAAGGTTGCAATCGGTTGAGCGCAGCCTTCAACTCTGTCATGCACTCCATTCAAAAAGCAACAATATCAACTATTGTAGAACGGCTTGCAGTTAATCAGTTCCCTCAACATCTCACTTTCCTGACGTCAAGGCAGATCCTACTTGGCAATTTCCTCATTGCTCAAGGGTACAGGCACTGACAAACTGGGCGGACAACCGACAGAAGGCCCCCTTAAGACGCAAGGAAGCCAAATAGGTACGCAATTGTATGGCAACGGCGCTAAACCGAGGCAACTTTTTGCCGCCGGTGACAGTTGACATTTGGGCTATGATCTTTCTGCGCTGCAGCTCCTGGTTGTCAAGCTTTGTGGCGCAGCGCGCAAACATCGCACCATGACCCCTGGGCTGCCTCAAGTCCAGGCAGGCGTTGTCGTTGTCGTTGTCGTTGTCGTTGTAACTGTTGGGTTGTGCTTGGGGAGTTGTGGTTGTTGTGGTTGCTGTGGTAATTGTACCAGTAGGGGCTGCGGTGGTTGTGGTCGTGGTGGCGGTGGCGGTGGCGGTGGCGACGGCGGCCGTTGTTGTTGTTGTTGTTCTTCTTCTTCTTCTTCTTCTTGTTCTTGTTCTTGTTCTTGTTCTTGTTCTTGTTCTTCTTGTTGTTGCTGTTGTTGTTGTGGTTGTGGTTGTGGTTGTGGTTGTGGTTGTGGTTGTTGTTGTTGTTGTTGTTGTTGTTGTTGTTGTTGTTGTTGTTGTTGTTGTTGTTGTTGTTGTTGTGGTTGTCGTGGTTGTCGTGGTTGTCGTGG